GCTCATCGTCCTGGCCCTCTGACCCGCGGTCCCTCTGGCTTCGTCGCCAGGCGCTTCTGCCTCCGCAGGCGCTCCCGACCGGCACAGCTGGACCACGCCCTTCCTGCCTCTGCTCTGTGCCTCGGTTTACCAAATGTCCGCGCCGTAGCGCTACATGTGCGCTGTCTGCCGCGCGCCAGGGCAGGTGTGGGGCGAGGACGGGTCCGGAGGCCCGGCGCCAGGTGCACCCAGTAACCGTGTTACTGGTTCCCGCTCTGGGGAGGCTGCGTGCCTGGAGCACAGGCCAGTCCACTGCGGCCGCTCCCAGAGGGCAGGGGCTGTGCAGAGCTCATCTGGGTACCATCTGGATTCGATGCATCAGTAAACGGGGTCAGCCTCTAGTGCTGGTGCCGGGTCCCTCGCCATCCAGGACCCCTCAGATGCTGCCCAGTCAGCAGTACCTAGACACACCCAGTGTCAGTGGCTGTTTAGTAAGAGCAAAGGTGCTGGGCACTGCTTGCTGTTATGTGGACTTTATTATGGGTTGAATTATGTCCCCCAAAAGAGTGTGTTGACATCCTAGTCTCAAGTACTCAGAATGTGACCTTATTTGGAGATAAGATCCTTTTACAGAGGCCCCAGGTAAAAATGAGATCATTCGTGTGGGCTCCTAATCCAGTATGACTGGTGTCCTTAGAAGCAGAAGGCTACGGTGAAGACAGAGACACAGGAAGAACCACGTGCAACAGTGGAACAGGGGAGTGATGCTTCTGCAAGCCAAGGAACCCCTGGGACCCCTGGTGCCGGAAGAGAGGCATGGAACACATCCTTCCGTAGAGCCTCCAGGTGAAGCATGGCCCTGTGGACGCCTTGATGTTGGACTTCTGGCCCCCAGAACTGTGAACTCCCATACACGACTGTTGTTTCAAGCCTCCAATCGTGGTACTTCCTTTGGCCGCTCTGGGAAACAATATACGTTCCTTCTAATCTGATTGGCTAAGGACCCCAGTGAGTGGAGTCATCCCTTGAAGTTTCAGAGAGGTCACACGCCCGCTGGCAATTTCATTGGTCCCATCCCGAACCCATGTGTTCTACGCCACTACACTATGCTATGGGGCCTCCTGTATCCCACTTTATTAATGGGAAAGAAGTTTTTGCCTTCCCGGGATGTACGGCTCTTCTTTTGGGATTTGGCCGAAGTTCATACGTTGGTATTTGTGATTCATCTGACTCAGCAGGTTAACATCGTTAATGAAAGTTTGCTTAGAGGACCTCAGCAATCTACTCCATGCAGGACACGTACAAACACCAAGGCCTAGAATCCACCTGTTCTTATGATCTGTTGCTACCAGGACGCAGTCAGAACTGGGGTCCCAGCAGAGCTGAAAAGGGAAAAGAACACAAAAACTGAATCAAGATGTTTACAAGTGTGCTAAGATGTAGCTTTACAGTTAATATGTAAATCCTACTTTCATTTTTACCTGAGTAGTATTTTTAACATGAATTCCTAAGCTGTTAATAAAAAGAGACTAGCTATTGTTAGCATCTCTGGTTCCCAACCCAGGAAAGAAAGGCTAGCTTGGTGACTGTATCGGTGGATTACATGGCATTGGGGAGGGTGGGTGAGAGGGAGGGGAGTGTGCAGCAGCCAGAGAGGATGCATGGACCTGGCTCAGCTCAGCGGGGCTCCCTGCTGGGGAGGCTGACAGAAGCTGCTGCTGTCTTCACAAGGGGGTCCAGGGTCAAGAGCCAAATAAGGGTTTTGGAGCCAAGGGGGACAGCACAAAGACCACCACCCCTGCCCAAGGACTGGCCCTGCTGAGGACTGAGACTCGAGGATGTGGTATCGCGGACTGTCCCATGAACAGAACTAAAATCCGCGCACTCTGCACTTGCTGGTAAGTTCTTTCCTTCTTGGGGGTCATTTTAAAAAACTAAAATCGTGTTGTCCAGAGCTCCCCCATGCCTCATTCCCTTATGGCGTCTCACCTACCTGCACGTCCCATTTGTTAAGCAGCACAAGGGTGGCTCCGAATCTGGGAGCCAGCCTGGTGGGTCAGGAGACTTGGGATGCAGTCTCACTGTGCAGTCCACCTGACTTGTCTGTCTGTAGGATGACAGCACTGGACCAGATGGGTGAGGTTCCTTTAGGGTTTCCCATCTTCAGATGAATAAATCATACCCCATTCTTCTCTGGACACAGAGTCCCACAAATGACTTTTTACAAAAGAGGGGGAAAACCACAGGAGTGTATGCTCAACTTTACTCTGATTTTTTCACGGGCCTCCCTGGATGTCCTTTAAGATAAACCAGCTTTCTTGTGGGCACTGGGAATGGCATTAATTTGCATCATTTATTGAAATATACAAATGGATACTTCCAGGTTAGACAAGCGAACACGACACGTGGTTCCTTCCAGTGATTTGCAACCCAAGAAATTTGTGTAATAAGCCTCTCTTTCCAAGCTTTTACTTTTGTGAACTTAGAGACCATTTACAACAAAGCTGTCTTCAGTAGTCAAACTTAATCCTTACTACCCTGCCTTTGGGAAAAGAAGGGATTTTGTAACGATCACATAAAACCTTGTGTGGTTTGAAAGCCCCAAACTCCGGACAAACGTGTGCGGGTCGTGTAACAAAAGAAACATTACGGAGCTCGCCACTTTAAGTGTTTTACATGTGGTTTTCTTTTAGGATAGCATCTCCAGTGGAGAGCTTCACCTATTAACACAATTGATTTTCTCAGCCCCAGTATTCCTATGAAGGTTGAAGCTGAGAGCTGGCCAGTCTGCACCTTGGACCTGGGTGGTGCAGCCAACCAGCACGTGAGGGCAGGAGCACAGAGCGTGCTGCAGGAGGGAAGGGGGGCCCTCAGGACCTGGGGGGTGGGCTCTGGGTGTCTCTGACTGCACTCTGACCTGCACTAGTTCTCAGCGTAGCTGGAGCCATTGCGCTGTGATCACAGCAGGGAGGTCTACAAGTGGGCAGGAGAGAGGGCAGGGGGAGGGGCTGCGGGGGTGGACAGGGGACAGGAGGGGTGCAGGGTGGAGGAAGGGAGGGAGGTGCAACCCCACCTGGAAGGTTAGGCATGCTTAGCTCTTGCCTTCCTACAAAGAGGCAAAACCATCCTTCTGCCCAGGAGCCTCTCGGTGCGTCTGCTGATATCTGAAGCCCCTTCAGGCTCACCTTGGGCTGGGACGGGCTCTGCCAGAGGCAGCCTGGACACTTCCATTCAAGACTTACTGAGACCTGGTTTAGCTGGCCTGCTTACTGCTAGGGGCAGGGGCTGGAGATGCTGCATTTAATCGGACTTGGTGCAGCCTCCGTGGTGATCATAGTGGAGTGGTGTAGACAGATAAGGAAATGGGGCTTGCAATCTGGAGCAGTGGCTGGGGCGGTGGGGATGCAAAGGAAGGCCCCTCCCTGCAGTGAGGATCCCTTGTGCTGTGGGCAGCCCCGCCCGGAGCGGACATGGTGAACTGCCAGGGGTCCGCTGGGGTTGCAGGGATGGTGTGAGGCCGGGTCGGAAGAACAGGAACAGCAACGTTTCCTACTGGGGGAAACCCCCACGCAGGGAGCACACCCTGCCTCTTGTGGGATTTGGATCCAGTTGTCCAGTGATTGGTGGACAAAGGTCACCCCAAATCATACATAGCTGTTCCTTCCAAAATGTGGCAACTTCAGATCATTGAATATCCAGGAAGTGTATATGATGTGTGTAAACATATGTAAACAGGTGAATACAAGTCAGCTCTTCCGATGAAGGTGTGTCTGCAGAGATTGCCCGGAGAACCACTTCTGCACAGGGAGACGCTTTGGGGGAAGTTTTCCCAGCCTGCTTTGGGCCGGCTGAGCGCGGATCACTCAGGACCCAGGACTCTGTTAGATGTTGGCCCTTTTGAAGGCGGCTCCTTCAACTCATTACAAAGTGTTTTTGATCCATTTTTAGGAAGGGCTTTGTTTGTAACGCACTGTTGGCAGTTCTTGTAAGTGGTGTGAAGGGCTGGGGAGTGTGCACCTGGCGGCCCCCACCTCTGTCCTTCAGGGATGAGCCAGCCATGCCTGGGTTTCTGCGACTGGAAATTAAAGCCAGAGACGTGGGGATCTTGATGCTGAGATTGTGATTTGGCCCCATTCACGTCTGCCTGGGAAACTGCAAATGAGAATTCAGACAGGAAAGCCAGCCACAACCACTCCTCTGTCTCAGCCTCCAAAATACTAACCTGGAGAAGAAGTGATGTCTCCCTCCGAGGCAAGCTTCTGCGGTCCAGCCCCGGCGCCCTGAGCCATTCATTCAAAGTAACAGGAGGCAGAAGTGGGACGTGATGACCACGCGGGTGGCAGAACTGGTGGTGAGGATGGTGAGGTGCTGCCTGGCCTATGGCCCCTTCATCTGCTAGCATGGGATGACCCAGGGTAATCTGGGGAGTCAGGAGTGACGGAGAGTGAGGTCCTGGGAGCAGCCCTCCCATCTGTCTCCCCGGCCACCACAGGAGAAGCAGCCCTCCTCGGTCCAGGAGGCCGCTGGACGGGAGGGCAGAGTCCCCATTCCTCATGGGGGAGGGAGGGGAATTGTGAAGCTGGAGTGGCTCCCTCCCCAGGAGGGGCCCTACCAGTTGTCAGGGCTCCTTCTGTGCAAATGGGGGAAGCCAAGCCCCCCCCCCCGATCCTCCGAGAAGAGGCGGAAGGGGGCTCCATGACAGCGGGGACCCAGCCAGCTCTCCTCTCTTCTTCAGCTCCAGGAGCGACCCACGTCTCTACCCTTGACCTCAGAGTTCCGTCCTTCCACCTCTGCTTCCCCTGGAGGAAGTCCCAGGGAAGGGCTTTGATTGGCCCCACACGGGTGACTGTAACAAGCTCTGGACCAATCATGGTGGCCGAAGGAATGAGGCAGCGTCATCCCAGGGGACACGTGCACCTGTGTGGTCAGGAGAACAGAGGTGGGAAGGGCAGGGTTACAGTGAGGCAGGGAGCCGCCAGGCCAGTCCCCTCCCAGCTCACAGTGATTCCCACCTACTGTGTGCTAGGCCAGGCTCGGCACTGCACACTCACACGCCGTCTCTCCAGTCTTCAGAACTGCTCATCACCAGCTGTGTGGACGGTGGGCAGGGGCAGCAGGCGGGGAGGGGCCAGGCTCCCCCGAGCCCAGCTCCCCCACAACAGTGGAGGTGGTCTCTGCCAATAGCTGTGGCTATGCCATGGAGCCCCCTAGAGAGTCTGTGGCCAGGGGACCTGCTTCATGAGGCTCCACAGTGGAGACACCTGGTGCCCACCCAGGACGCTCTCTTAGAGTGGGGTACCACCCCGCAAGGCCAAGCAAAGCATTACCAGATTGCGCCTCTGCTCTGTCTTAGGGATTCATCCTAATTAGCACTTCATTGGATTCATTAAATTGAACTCAGAGAAATTAATATAGCAATAATAATAGCTGAGTATCATCAATGGCTTATTAAGTAGCAGTCCCTGAGCTGGGTACTTGATGCTCATCCTCTTTTGAATCCTCCCAATAACCATAAAAGGTGGGTCATATCCTTATCGCCATTGTGCACGTGGGGAAGCAGAGTGGTTGGGTAGTTTGCCAAGGTCACACAGCAGTGAGCGTTAGAACTGTTCATGCCCTGGTCTTTGACTTGTAGAAGTGGTCCAGGAATGGAAACTGCATTCACTGAACTTCGTGGGAGGGCATTCCTGGCTCTCTCCTTCAGGCTCTGCTGTCTGCTTTGTATGTGCTGAATCTCCCGGCAGTCATCATGCTGGACCAGTCAGGGTCTTGCCTGGGTAGGTGTTCAGTTATTTCCTGCTGGGGCACCAAGCAGGGACCATGTGGCTCTTTGCTTGGAGGGGATCCTTAAGGAGAAATGGCCCAGACCACACTGTTGAGCCCCAGGACCCAGCCCGATCTGCAGCTAGCCAGCCCTGGACTTGTCATTTCTGTGTGGCAGTGAATTCTTTTGTTTGAATAAACAAGTTCGACTTGCATTTTTGTCACTTGGAACCAAGCGTCTTCAGCATTACAAGTATCCCCCAGTCATGGTGCTGCCTGTTCTTGCGTGTGTCATCCTTTTAAAAAAACCTCTCAGGTGTGTGAGATGAGTGTCACTGCACCTGCTTTATAGCGAGGAAGGTGAGGATTAGAGCGGTCAAGCTCCTCATCCAAAGCTACCCAGCTGTGAAGTGGCAGAGCTGGGACTTCCCAGAGTTACTGATCCCCAGGGGTCACTGTTCTAAGGGTGGCCCCATTTCCTAAGAGTATAGGATTGGGGTGGGGGAGGGGAAAAGGAAGAGGAAAGAGAGAGGAGGGTGAGAGCGGAAGAGAGAGACACACAGAGAAAAGACTCTGTTAGCATTTTGAATTGAGGAATTTAGAATCTTTTGGTGGCAAGTTATGATGGTGTATTTCTAGGGCTTAGCAGTTTTATCCTGCTATTTGTTCTTCAAATAAAAGAATCAGAGTTGCCGACTTAGTTTAAACCAGCTCCAAAGACTGCAGAGTTGACTGCTGATTAAAAACTTGTCTTTCTCGGGCTGAGAAAGGAGCAGCAGACACGACTTCCCTGAGTGTGTTGCCCCTTGCAAATTTGATTTTCATTTGTAGCATTTGAGAATGTCGATGATTGGAGAAGTGTAACTTGATTATTAACAAGCTAGAAATAGTAACTGGAAAGTGTTCGCTTTGGCATCTACCCGGGCCTGTGTGATATACATAAACTGGAAGAAGTCTAAATATGAAAGGAGAGGCGATTTGGGGGCCATTCGTCTCGCAGCCCTCCTGTTGCCCCATCCTGGGGCGTCCACAGCTAGCTCTAACGTGAAAGGTCACTTTGGATTCAGTGAGCTTTGCCATTTGTGAATTGAGCCTGACTCTCTCAAGAAGTAAACACATTCCAGCCATTTTATTT